AAGGGTCACTATCAGGTCCCGACAGGAGATAGGGTCACTATCAGGTCCCGACAGGAGATAGGGTCACTATCAGGTCCCGACAGGAGATAGGGTCACTATCAGGTCCCGACAGGAGATAGGGTTACTATCAGGTCCCGACAGGAGATAGGGTTACTATCAGGTCCCGACAGGAGAAAGGGTTACTATCAGGTCCTGTCAGGGGAAAGGCGACCTTTTGCAGTGTGAGGAATATGTGGAAAAAGGCAGATGATGATGATAATGATGAAGATGGAAATGATGATCATCATCATCTTGGCGCTTCCCCCATTAAAGGCAGATGAGATTCTGAGAGCCACTGGGCTGCTCCGCTCACAGCCGCTACCGCAGACCATAATCGGTCTCCATGGCAACCACTCCTGCCGCCCTTCAGCTGAGTGGCTAACGACGAAGCCTAGAGCCGATCGGGGAGATTAGCCGGTACCCTCCCAGGGTGAGATGACTGCGCTCATCAAGCAGGCAGATGGTGCGGCAGCGGACAGGGCTTGCCCCCCTCCTCCGACGGAGGCCGTGCGTGCAGGGGGGGTGGTACAATGCACGCCTCTCGCACTCGCCATTAGATTTTATTACAGGTGCTTTGCATTTTTTGGTAGCAGGTGAGAGTAACCGATGAGGAATTAAGTAAATGACACGGGAAATTATCAAAAAGTCCAGGAGAGACGTGTTCCGGAAAGAACCTGGCCTGGCGTTGGGACTGGTATCCGCGTTCATGTCATCTTAAGTTTCCATTGTATGCATAAAAGGGGGGGGGTAGATGATTCACTAACTTCCCCTCCCCCACTGGCTCGAGGACATCTGAACCGATGGCAACTGTTGCCAAGGGAACCTCCATGAATCTGAACACTCAGCTCCTGAGCTCACCACCATCTGCCTCGTGCAGCACGGCCGCAGAGATCCAGCCCGTGTGCAACCAAAGCACGGTGCTGAGATGCGACCCCCCCGAAGCATTACGACGATCGCCGTGGAAACGCTGAGCCTGCAGGACCCGCCCCCCCACCTGGCTCCCGTCCTCGTTGGGGGGTATCGCACCAGGGGTGCCCATTAAAGGAGGCTTCATCCTGCCCTAAAACACGGCTCACGCGCGTGTGACGCTGGAAGCGGTTAAGCGGTTTCCTGGCGCGGTGGGGGTCTCCCACATCCCGCCATGACCTCATCTCCCAACTCAGGTGGCTGGCTTTTAGCAGCCCGTGACAGGGACGTAATTCCTGCGGGTGATCAGCCATCGTGGCAGGGCGGGCCGGCCCTTCTCCCGTCGCTAAGGCCGTGTCTCTCCATCGTTGTCATGCGGCAACCTAGAGATGGTACTGGAAAGTCCCAGGACTCTGGAGTTGCCGTCACTGTTTGCGTGCTGTGTTCAGGCCCCCCCTTCTGATTTCTTGGCCCGTCCTACGTGCTCATCACATCTCTGCTCGGCCTGAACACTTCAAAAGCGTTGGATTGCGAATGGTTGCCACGGTGACTCCCGTAAAGGGAGGGAAAATCCGAGTCTTGTTAAAATTGACTCATTTTAATTAGTCAGTTTATGTCTGCATATTGAGCAGGACTATAGGGCTGCCATAGGTCCACACTTGTAGGGTGTTTCTATATATCTGCCGCAAACTTTCATAAACCTCAATATCTCTATTCCATACAACAGCAACAAACAGGTGAACAGACAAAAACATTTAGTCCTTCTTCTTCCACCAGACAAAATTTTTTCAGCAATGGACCACTCACGGGCCTGTCCTGCAGCCTTTTGCAGACCAAAAACCTCCTCAGAAAACATTGCTGACCATCCAAGCTCCATCAGAGCTGGCTCGGTCATCGACTGAAACGGTCTGTTTACGGCCATGTCATGTGGTAAAACCAAAAAAATGCAGAGCTGGAATCCAGAGATTACACCGGGGTGTTTGTGGTGCCCAGTCTAGGGCCCTTAACTGAACCACTCTCCAGTTTAACCAGCAGTAGAAAACCCACACAAGATCACTGTCAAAAAACAAAACAAAAATCCAGTCTCTTCCAGCGAAATGTAATCAAGACCACAAGCTCTGGGCTCATTAGAGACCCCCGAGCATTCAGCCCTTATTAAGTCCTCTGACTTGCTTCAGTAACGTTTCATAGAAGCTGCCTGCTGTCCCCAGGAAACTGAGGTGGGCATAAGACTGGGGTCAGCCTCCATTTTAGAGTAGAATGATTTAGAAACATGTCTCCCCAGTGTTAAGTCTTGGTTTGAGGTTGTGCCATAAAGCCAGCGTTTTCCACATGGAACAGGGAAACCATCGGCCACTTACTGCCTCACTGCGACAAATCTCCATGCAACTGACAGCCCTGCTCATGCGGAACCAAACGGAACACAAGCGCTCCCTCTGAAAATTCCAGGCCTGAAATTCACACCCTCCTGCTGTTTGCTGTGAACATAAGACTACAGCATTTCCACATATCTTCCTAGCATGCGGGGAAGGTGCCATCTTCCAAACGTCAGTGCGGTCATGTCCAAAAACCTGGAGCGAATCTCCGACGTCCTGCCCTGCCCAACTTCTGCAAGCTTTGCACCAATCTCGAGTCAATTTTCTAGCGTGTGCACCTACTGTAAGATAGACAATGTGTGAAGCTCCTTCATGATGCTAATGCAGGTTCTACACTG